ACAGGGTTTCACCATGTTGACCAGGATGGTCTTGATCTCTTGACCTCGTGATCCACCTGCCTCGGCCTCCCAAAGTGCTGGGATTACAGGCGTGAGCCACCGCGCCCGGCCCCTAAAACCTTTTTTAATTCAATCACTGAGCAAATGATTTTGACATTCTTGTATCTTCAATTAAAATAAACATCAGGGCATTTCCATTTATTTGCAATTCTTAGGTCCAGTGTAGCTGCTACATACAGCCCCATCACATGCATGCTTCATGCTCTTACTAAGTCATGGTTATTTGAATACTATAAGTTGGTAATAATTATAGAACTACATGTTTTTTCCTTCAGAAAAGGCAAGCAGATTTACTATATAAATGCTAGAATACATGAATAGTAACAGAGTTGAAAAATGCTTATTTTGAAATTAAATGTCTTACTAAAGTCCTCCAAGTAAGAAAGAAATATAGCTAAGTAGAGGTATTGTAATTAACAAATTAACTATGGAAGTAAAAAAATATAGCCTCATATATTTAGATTTTACTCATTTAACATACACAGGCATTAAATCTGTGCTAAAACGGGACGAAAAAGGATACTAACCTGTTGTCAATCTGCACATGAACATTTTGCCACCTTTCAACTAATTGATCTGCTTTTTCTTTGTGCCAGTCAAAATCAAGGTCCCGTTCTTTATATGTTTTGAACATTTCATCACTGATGGCTTTAGCTTTCTGCAACTCATCCTCTAATGCATGGAATACCTGTCTCTTTTCATCTACTTCAGATCTCCATTGCTAAAATACATTAATTGGTAAAAGTTACAAAAACGTTAACCACTCAACGGGTAAATACATTATTTACCTAATTTCACAAATTATTTACAATGACAGGTAGAAAATAAGATAAAGAATGTCCTTCATACACAAAATGTTATATTAGTTCAAACCTTAAGAAATTATCAATATTTGTACATTGATTTTTAATGACAATTTTATAAAGTTCAGCCTAATACAATTTACATATCAACAAAATAAAATATATTCCATAAGTAAGTTTGCTACCTCCATTAGTAAGTCTTTTTCATTGTTTTTAAATGCCTTCTAATCCTATTGTTAAAAAGGAATATATGCATTAAAAATTACTGAGATAACTTTTAACAACTGCTTTGCAATAGTTTTACCACTTGCTAAAGAAATACATAAATAGATGAGATAAACTACAAGTCTTTTTCCTTTCTTAATTTCTCTATTTACATCCTTGATATCTTAAAATAACTTCTTCTTCAGCAAGTGAATCTATTACTAATAATTTAATTTTTAGCTTTGACTCATCTTGCTACCAACATGAAATGACTATCAAAAGCTACTGTCAAAATGGTTCAAACTTCAAATACGAACTCTGCTCAAACTAAAATGATTGAACATACTTATTTAGAGTAAGCTGTGAGATCATAGAGACACAAATGGAATAAATCCATTCAAAAACCCAAGATATTTAACGCTTGATATTTGGAGATCTGAGCTAAGTGCTACATAAATATTTGTAGAATATGATCCTTAAAAATAGCCAAAAGTGAGGCTCATACCTTTAAAGTACTTATTAGATTCTGAATATTATTCTTGTCAGCTATAACTGCTTCTTCTTCACACAGTTTAGTTTCATAGAGTTTTACAAGGGCTTCTGCAGCTTGAGTGTTTTTTAACACCAAGTTAACAGTTTTCAACCTTAAAAAGGAAATTAAACAATAGCCATCTATTGTTAAACGTTTATATTTTTGTATAATGTAGTCCTGAAGCACCACTATGACAAATGACATAACATGTTCATCACCTTGGAACACTGACATATTTACTATGAAATTAACATTTTTCTGGCTTTCTTCTTAATAGATAGCATGTACTCCAGTCCATCCCCTGACCCACAAATGGTATTCAGCAAAAGACTGCAAGATAAGATGGTTTCTGTCTAACCTTGTTTAAGTATGAGATGAAAATCCATTGGCTACAAAAGCTGAGCTACCCAAATTACATGCAAAATGTGAAAAGACCATGCTTTACTAATGAATCTCCGAGGCACATCAACTATCAACATAGAGAAGTGTCATTAATCCATAAAAATAATGCATTTCTTAAGACAAAAAAATTTAATATTTACACTAATAAAAATAAAAATTTAAATTAATAGTACATAAAAGTAAGAGTTGTATGAACCAATTTAGATATTGAGATAGCAGTTACATACTTATCTATGTAAGTTGAAGACATAGAATAGACTTGGTTCATGTTCTGAAGGACCACATTAAGCTCCGATCGTAGGGTGGGAACTGATGAAGAGGCTGCTGCTTGACTGAAAAACTCCTCACACTTATTTGTGATTGTTCCCAAATCATCTTTAAGTCGTTCCAGCTCTTTCTTTAGTTTCTATAAAACGGAGAACAAACAAAGGTATCAGGCCATCACCTGAGATGAGGTGTTTTTCTTAAACCAGTTTAAAAACACACATTTCACATTATGACCAATGACTTAGAAATCTACATATTCTTTGCTTTTTATCAAAGAAATCTACATATTCCTTAACCATGGCATTCAAGTTTTACAATCAGTAAATCCCTTACTGTCCATCTCCTTAGCCTCAACATCTAACTTAGTACTTTTGCACATAGCAGGCATATAATGACTTTTGTTACAAGTCCTTATAACCCTCATTGCAAGGAAGGTGAGCATGTACATATTCTCATGTTTATCTGGGTGAAAGTGTACATATTCCCATGTTTACCTGAGTCAGAGGTAGACTGAATCCTAGTTTACAATCAGCAATAATTAAATAATCAGACCTCACAAAGTGACCAGCCTGCAAAACTGAACACGTAAGAAGCCACAAGAGTTGATACGTAAGGTCATTAAGAGAGTTAATTTTTTTCCCAATATATTTATAACTCTCACCTCCTGTTCTGTGATTCTGAATACACTTTCATGCAAATCATCTCTTTCCAGGGGAGTTCTAATCTGTCTAATCAGCCGATCTTCACAGTTCTCTAACCGAAGTCTGATGTTTCGAACTTCAGAGATGTAGAGATTATAAACTGATTCCTCTTGCTCCTCTGTGAAAATAAATATAATGTTTAGAAAATATCTTGTTTTCTGTCTTTTAGAAGCCTCTGTTCATGTTTTAATATAACAATTTTATCATTACTGGGACACAGCTAGTCAAGCAAATAGTTCCTGTCTTCAACACAAACCCATTCTAAGGATATAAATCTTAAAATTTAAGAAGAATTAATAAAAATTCCCAAATGCCATTTGAAGTACCAATTTCTGATTAAATGATGTCAAAAGTAATATAGTGCTATTTCAAGTTCACAAAAATGTGAATTATATTAGCTGCAAATTAATTACAAAAATCTAATAAAAATCCTTAAAAGTAAAAAGTAGGTAAATAATATTTAATGTTTAAGGTTTTCTTTTTTTTTTTTTTTTTGAGATGGAGTCTCACACTATCACCAGGCTGGACTGCAGTGGCGTCATCTCAGCTCACTGCAATCCCTGCTTCCTGAGTTCAAGTGATTCCCCTGCCTCCCGAGTCCCTGGGACTACAGGCGCGTGCCACCATGCCGGTATTTTTATTGTATAAAAAATACAATTTTTTGTATTTTAGTAGAGACAGGGATTCACCATGTTGGCCAGGATGGTCTTGATTTCCTGACCTCGTGATCTGCCTGCCTAGGCCTCCCAAAGTACTGGGATTATAGGCATGAGCCACTGCGCCTGGTCTTAATGTTTAAGATTTTAAAAAAATAGAATACTACTAATAAAATTGTCTCTAACTAAAATCAAAAAAGCTCAGAATAAATTCTATATTTAACAAAAGTTAACTAGGCAAAAACCTTTTGCTTTAACCCTTGTATAAAATCCATGTTTGGTAAATGAGAAAATAATTTAATCTTTCTTGAAACTGAAGGACTATCATTCTGAACATTACATTGCAAAATACTGAAAATGTCAAAAAGAATTGTTGTTTGTCATACTAAATGGCTGGCACCTTTTATTAATCTGTCATTTGGAAACAAATGAGTACCTTTTTGCATCTTCCTACCTCAAACATGCTTTTACTGTTCCAACAATTGTATCTACACATTACAGGCTGAGTGACACATTATACCTAAGACTGAGATTCCCACTGAAAGCAAAAAACAGCCAGAACTAAACATCTATGGAGAAAAAAAGACAGGGATCCCCATGCTTTACCTCTTTCTGCAGATTTAAGAAGTTCTTGATAATACTGCTTACATACATTAACCTCCTTTTCCAGTTGTGTTATATCTGAGCCTGAAAAGATTTGGGATTCCTGGCTATCTTCCAGAAAATCTTCAAAACGAGACTGTAGATTACTCAGAACTTGCTGATGTTCACCAGGTAGCATTGTCTTTATCTAAAGAAGACCAAAGACCCATGTAATTAAGTGATTAATAGATTTGAAAGGGATATAATTCAAATTGGTCGTATGGCATATGCCACTCTACACGAATAATCATAAATAGAAACATTTGAAATTAACCATCTTTTTCATTAACAATTTTAAGTTTTAGAGACAAAGAAAAACAAGTCTCCAAAACTCAATACATGAAATCAACTATACCCACAAGAAATACATCCTGTCTCCCTATCTACCAGTAAACATTGAATGCAATCTATGATCTCCAGATTTCCTCAATTCTTAAAAAGTGCTTTATATGCTGTGGGCATATAACAAATAGCCATTGAATGAATGAATATTAGCATGGATTTGCTGGACTCCATCCTATTCTAAAGAAACATAAACTCTACTGCACATATAAAAAGGCACGCATATTTTTGGGCATACTCAGTTGACATATGGATTCATACTTACTGAAGCCACATTGCTAGCTCGAATTCTATCAATTTCATTGATGAGATAATGCCAGGATACTACACTCTTCATGTTTACGTGAGACTCATGCCAAAGAGTCAGGACATTCTGATACTGCTGCTCAATTCTGAAATACATGAAAGAGAACTCAGATTATCCTTTTACTCCCTCTGAAAACACACTGCAATTTTTCTTTTTGTGTAAAATATCCATGTTTAGTAGTTCTAGAGACTTCTGATCCTGTGGGGACTTGACAAAATACTGATTATTTCTTCAACCTTCAGAGAGCCCCCAAAACTAGCTCAATGTTTTTAGCGAACAATATACAAACCTGTTGGCAAAGTCCACCGCTTCTTTGTTTGGTGGAGGAACGGTGAAGCACACAGATGGAACCATAGCCTCATTCCCAGTGGGACTAATGACCTTCCATTTAGCACGATGAGAGTTATTCGCCAAAACACATTCATCGTCTTTGTAAATGGTTATCTGGTTTTAAATAAACAGCAGAATAACTCAATGAGATTACTGTTAACTGTTTTCCACACTCAATCCTGGGAATTTTTTGCTTTGTTTATGAGGGGGGAAATCTTGATCACTAATTAGCAATATGATCTCATTTATAAAGTATATGAATAATGACAGAAACTGGTCTGTTTCTAGGAGTTACAAGTACCTCAATTTGTCTATAGTCACAGATAGCTTTGATCGGAATAGAAGTTTTGAGCGGACAGTCAGAATTCCTTGGCTTCAGTTGAATTACTGTTTTTGCTTTTCCCATCAGGCTTGCTACAGTGCTTTTGTACTGCAGAAGTTCTTCTTTCTCTTCCTAAGTAATAAATACAGTGAATTTTAAGAAGTAATAGAGACATAAAAAAAAAAAAAAAGAAGTAAAAGACTTGTACTCTCCATGTCTTCAGCACTTTACACAAATGAAACTTCATCAGAAAAGTCTTCTTTGGCTACCCAGTCTAAATTTTCAATCCTTCCCCTCTACCCCTCTTGTAGCTCTCTTCCTTTCATCGGTTTGTTTGGTTTTCTTTTTCCTCTTTAGCATTTGTGGTATCTAGCGTACTATATACATTTTACTTATTTATCCTATTTATTGTCTAACTCCCTCTCCAGCATGTAAGCACCACAAGGGTAGAGATTCTTGTCTGCTTTATTCACTGCTCTATCTCCAGAACCTAAAACAGTGCCCAAGATATATTAATAACTTAAAAAGTATTTGCGAAATGAATGACTAAACACAGAGGCACACACGCGTGCACACACACACAGAGATACGCTCACAAATATGACACTATAAAAGCATCTTAAAATATCAAATCTATCACCTAAAAAACACTTTTGTTATATTAGATACCAGAGGAAAACTAAAACTCAATGTGCAAATGTATAATTGAATTAGTGGGAACTATCAAGAGTGGCAATAAAATACAAAGTTCTGCTCATATCAAACACTAATCTAATCCCTCATGCATCCTTATAAAATGCATAGGTTTTGCACTAGTACCATTGATTCCTGAACAAGGTCTTCCAGCTTGTGAATGCTGCTTGATCTATCACAGCTGTATTTCCGCTGAATGGCATCTTTTAGATTCCTTAAGTAATCAGTAGCGTCTTTGGCATCATTGAAAAACTAAGGAAAGATGAAACCTAGCAGTTAAAGTCTGTTAAATACCAGTAAAGCAAACAGTTATCATGCTCTGATACCAAGGTCCTATGTGTACCCCTCATAAGTGAGAACAGAATAAAAGCACAAAATAGCTTAATAGTCACATCCTTCCTTGGACCTAAGAATAATCCTTGAAGTTGGATGGTTATGAATGAATACTAATTGTCCAAAGCTTATGTATATATGATGTTTTGGCTCTATATTATTTTGACCGAAGGTCTGTTTTAAATTAGGATTTAAACAGTATTTAAGTAGGAGTGAAATTCCAAGAATAGTTAAAAATTTCTACATTTTTAGAAGTTCAATGGTTATAGATTATTGATTCTCTATATGAAAACAGTTCCATACAATTCAAGGTGAGATTTGGAAAAACTTAAAAAAAAAAAGAAAAAAAAAGTTCCTAAATAAGAGATACATTTGTAGAACAGAATAAAGATTTTATGGTATCTTAAAGAGATTTCTAAAGGCTGCGTAACAGAATACTTCAATCTATCTTACAAGACATAAAACTAACTCTTCCGGCCTACAAAGAAAACAACTCACATTATTTTTTACATATATATAAAAAATATATATATATGTATATATATTTATATATATATGTAAAATATATATTTAGATATATAAAATATATTATGTAATATATATTATATATAAATATATACAAAATAATATATATAAATATATATAATAATCTGCATTTCATAATTTGTTAGGATAACAATATGCATCTATATATACATACACACATATGTGTGTGTGTACATATGTAAGCACCACAAGGGTAGACATTCTTGTCTGCTTTATTCACTGCTGTATCTCTAGAACCTAGAACAGTGCCCGGGATATATTAATAACTTAAAAAGTATTTGTGAAATGAATGACTAAAGACACAGGCTAGGATAACAATATGCATCTGTATATATGTGTGTGTGTACATGTATATATATAATATGTGTGTACATAATTTATTTTTAGGATAACAATATGCATCTATATACATGTGTGTGTACACCCATATGCATCTATATATGTGTGTACATAATTTATTGTTAGGATAACAATATGCATCTATATATATGGGTGTACACACACATATATATAGATGCATATTGTTATCCTAACAATAAATTATGTACACACATATGGGTGTACACACACATATATACAGATGCATATTGTTATCCTAACAATAAATTATGTACACACATATATAGATGCACATTGTTATCCTAACAATAAATTATGTACACACATATATACAGATGCATATTGTTATCCTAACAATAAATTATGAAAAAGATTCTGCAAGTTAGCCAAAATCACAATACTATCTATGAACTTATGATTCTACTTACATACCTCGAAATATGCTGTGTTCTCCTTTATGTGCTGCTCCACACACTGGCAGAGCTGTAAGATCCAGCTCCACTGCGTCTGCATTGCTGCTCTGTAGGCCTTAAAGATAAAACCAAACCATCACAAGTGACTGGAGAGAAATAAGGCACACATAACTTTTGATATCGATCCTTCTAAATGCTGACTCCACTATCTAAATAGATGACCAATTGTTTTAGCAGAATAAGACTCGAAAATCAGGGCAGTGGCTTAGCATGGTGGCTCACGCCCATAGTCCCAACACTTTGGGAGGCCAAGGTAGGCAGATCACCTGACCAACCTGGACCACATGATGAAACCCTGTCTCTACTAAAAATATAAAAATTAGCCAGGCATGGTGGCACATGCCTGAAATCCCAGCTACTAAGGAGGCCAAGGCAGGAGAATCACTTGAATCTGGGAGGCGGAGGTTGCAGTGAGCCAAGATTGCGCCATTGCGCTCCAGCCTGGGCAAAAGAGTGAAACTCCATCTCAAAAAAACAAAAACAAAAAAAGGAAATCAGGGCAGGGGCAGTAAAATTCTCCTCTTATCTAATACTTCTCACTTGTACAAAGTCAGTCCTAAAGTTTAAATATAAATTTTTAAATCATTCCAGTTGATTTCTTTTCAATTTTAAACTTCTTGTGAAATTTCTTCTTAAAATATAAGGAAAAGATTAACTCTGGCTATGGGAGAAAATATTTAACAATTAAAATAAACACAAGCTATCCTTCCTATATACAAAACTAACGCTTAACTCCTTTGCCACCAACTCTTAATCTGCTTTGTGGAATCCTCCAATATGTTTCCTTTCATGACACATTAATCTCTCCTTTCTCTAAATTTTTTATGGTGCTAGATCATAAAATATACCTTCTAACACAGAAATATACGGTTATGTAGTTTTCTCTCTTTTTTTTTTTTTTTTTTGCTGGTGAAAGGTGTGAAGAGAGTGGAAAAGGAAATGTGTATACTTCCAAATGAGCATAATTCTGGAATTATAATAATAACAGTAGCAATTTTTATTTTAAAAATGTGTTTCTTGAACTTTTAATTTAATACAGAGTGTATCTTTCATGAGGGTAAACAATATTGTAGAAAGGATACCTACTTCCTTAAGGAAACATGAAATACTCTTTTCTATTTAAGCTGCAATTCACTGATTTCCAGGAGAGGGCACTCGAGATGCTTTTATGACTATTTTAAGTAAGTCTGTTATTTTTCCTTCTTTTGGAAAAGCTCATTCCTGCTGAGCTATGCTTAGCCAGGCTTTCCGAATGGAATATATGATGTAGCACTGAAAATCTGGCAACATATCATGATCATATTCTACCTCAAGTTAAGTTACTTTCAGTAAACTGGCTATAAAAGATGTATCCTAGTACATCATTAAATTACTGCTTTCTTTTTTCATATAAAATATGAAACAATGTTGATAATTAACTAAGTATTATCCACGAACCCAAACAAGACACTGGACAGGCCAATGGGACCACAAAGATGACCAAGGTTTCATTTTACTTCTTAAGAAATTTCATTAATTAAATTATAATTTCTACATAAAGGTGATCAGAGTGACATTCCCATTTTCGTTCCCATCACAGTTCTTGGCTCATAATCATATTTCATCTCTCTAACCTAAGAAATACTCTATTTTTAGTTTATTAGTATACAAAACCACATCCCAGGCCCTCCATTATTCTATTTTTCTTTCCCTAGAGGTCCCCTGCTCTTCTACGTTTTTAACATTCATGTGTAACATTTCATGTAGCTGCAAAACCATATTTTATGTAAAAGATGATCATACATAACATCCCCAAAACTTCCTGATGGGCCTAGAATTGTACTAATCTTTCACATTATTATGATTTCAGTGAATCTAACAGATTCCTTTCCTCAACTGTGAGTCTGAAGCATGACAACTCCAAGGACAAGCATCATTTTTTTCCCCTCTGGCAAAATAACACAACTGACTGCCCATGTGTGATAATCTGTCCTTTCTTATATAACACCCCCATCCTCAATTCAGAAAGTCACTAACTCTGTCTAGTACATCATTAAAAACACTGTCCTAACTGCACAGGGAACCTGATAAATCCCATCTCAATTTTCCACTTCTGAATTTCAAATGTTCACTTCACATTATGAAGCCTTGTCAGGATGCTGCCCCAATATATTTCACAAAACCAGAGCTTAAATAAAATATTAAATTAAATTGTAATAGCCAGTACTTTTTCTTAGAACAAATAATATACCAAAAATTATACTAAGCGGTAAGAGTAAATTATTTCCTTCTGATCCTCATAACTCTATGGAGTAGAGGTAATTTCTTCCATTTTTGGTAGGAAAATGAGGCTTAGCAACACTATGTCACTTATGCAACATTACACAATCAGAAACAACATGGCAATGCTTGTACAGAGAAGGTCCTTTATATTTACAGCAATACATCTTCTCAGCCACAGAGGCTAACAAGGGTACCTTTATTCTAAGTGATGGATGACATACTTAGTGGCAGAGAATGGAAGGCAATCAGTACAATTTGCCAGAAACATTATTTTTGAGCCAGGTTTTAAATAAAAGTCTGATGGCTTATAATTTTCAACTTCTCAGCAACAAAAGAATCTGAAGGAAAATAATCATATCAATATTTAACCAACACCATTACACTTTCCGGCTTACCTCAATAGTTAACCGGGCTGGATGATTTTCTAAAAGTAGCTGCTCTGCTATCTCCTGAACTGATTTAATATTTTCTTCCTTCTGATCAAGTTCTCTCATTAATTCCTTCAACAAATAATTAAGAAGTGTGTTAGAAAAATATATAACCCTAAAATGCAACCTTAGTATGCAAGTACAAAGGGTATCACACTTACAGCATGATAATCTTTTTTGCGAGCTATGTTGGTGTTTCTCTCACTCCAGTCATAAGCAACTTCCTCCTCTTCTTTTTCATTCAACCAAATAAGTTCATTAGTTGCACGACTTACAAAGTTATGGAGTGTATCAAGGTGCCGTTCTTGATTCCTGGATGTATTCTTTAGTAAGGAAAATCATCATAAGAATCATGTTTTTGCCAAATACAGATAAATGAAACAGAAGATTAAAAAAACAAAACTTACCAAGAGTTTTGCGTACTGACTCTCTAATCTGTGCAACTTTTCTGCATAAGTTAGTTTAAGAGGTGCTGTCATTTGAATCTATAACATGAGATTAAAAAGACACTACAGTTAGGAATCTGAAGGAATTCTGACTCATACTTGATGTATCTATTATTGGTTTACAGGGTCTTTACATAAGAAGCAAAACAAGAGTAAACTAAAACAAAATATGTACAAATTTTAAATTCAAATACCTCACTGATTTTAGCTTCTTTGAGGCTAGATTCAAATTCTTCAATAGCTCTGTGAACATTTTTATGATTTTCTAAATGGCTTTCAACACTTGGCAAATCTGAGCCCCATTCAGTGCGGTCCAGTTGTACCTTCAAACAGTAAAATACTAAGTGTTAAAAAAGAAATTGATAGCAATAAAGACTGAAACACTCAGGTAAAGTAAACATTTTGTACCTGCATCTCATCGACCCAATTCAAAAGATCCTGAACAAATTTCATGTTGATTTCTTCTTCTGTTAAATTTTGATCCAGCAAAGAAGATTTTAGGAGGGGTTTTCGGATCTGCATCAACTTCAGAGTTTGCAATGAATTTGGCTCCACTCCTGAACTGAAATTTGGAACTAATCCTGATGGGAAACCAGGTGTATAAGCTGGAGTGACAGATGGAGTCAGGCGGGAAGTCATCCCTGACGACAGGCCAGAAGTTATGCTAGAAGAGGTTAGAGAAGGTGTTAAACTCTGGGTCAGCCCTGAGCTCAGACTAGGGTGCAAGGTCTGTGCAAATCCTGAGTTTAAACTTTGAGTGATTCCTGATATCATGAGCTTCGTCTGTTCTGTTGTCAGCATGCGTCCTTTGCTGTACACAGAAGAGCATTCGTTCCTTAGAGCCATAATTTCATCACGCAGTTTTGCAACCCTGAAAAGAAAATCCAAAGGGTTAAGGTGCAATATAAAAGCCACCTGTCAAAAAGAGTGGACTCTAATGTAAATTACAGGCTTTAGTTAATAATGAAGTATCAATATTGGCTTATCAGTTTTAGCAAATGTGCCACACTAATGCAAGATGTTAGTAATAGGGGAAGAGGGAGGTATAAGGGGGCATATGGGTAAAATTCTGCAACATGATTTTTTTCAATGAGAATTGTACTATGAGGACTTTCAATCTAATTTGTCTTTATCACTACATTTATAATGAATACAACTACTATAGCATACTATGAACATCCTGTTATTTGGCATTAGGATAGTTCTAAAATTTGGCTATTATAAAATATGTACAAAATGAATGTAAAGCTTTTTTCTACATTTACGTATATATTTTTCATATTTAGAATTACTATAAATTCCTAAAAGTGCAATTACTGAGTCAAAAATTTAGAAGTTTTGAATTTATATATTTATACAGAGATAGAAAGAGAGAGAGAAACTACAGCTGGAAATGTTCCATACCTACTCCCAAACACACACTTCACAGTGGTAAAGGTTTTTATACACATAGTTTCTTTAAAGATTTTGTTATGAACATTTTCATAATAGGATAAACAGAAAAATAAAAAACTGAATTATAAATGACACTTTTTAGCTGGGTGTGGTGGTTCACGCCTATAACCCCAGCATTTTGGAGGCTGGGGAAAGTGGATTACTTAAGGTCAGGAATACAAGACCAGCCAGGCAAACACAGCAAAACCCCGTCTCCACTAAAAACACAAAAAATTAGCCAGACATGGTGGTGGGTACCTGTAATCCCAGCTAGTAGAGAAGCTGAGACATGAGAATCGCCTGAACCCAGGAAGCGGAGGTTGCAGTAAGCCAAGATCACGCCACTGCGCTCCAGCCTGGGTAACAGAGCAAGACTCCGTGTCAAAAAAAAAAAAAAAAAAAAAAGATACTTTTCTTACATTTTTTTATCTTTCAAATATCTCATGAATACTTTAAATGTATGTAAATGATGTATGTAACACACATACATTTATTGTATTCATTTTAATGAGTTAGCGCCTGCAGCAGTATTATATGTACCATAAAACATTTTTTCTGTTGCTAATCTTTAAAAAATACCTACCTAAAACACCAAAATATTTAAGAATGTGACACATATTTTCAACTAAAAAAGAGCTAAGAAATAGATTTCACAACATTTTCATACTCTACATTCCTATTTCAAATGCCCATGAAACAGTTATTCAAAAAAAGGGCAGAGAAAGAATAAGCAGCACTCTTACCTCTGTACCAACTGATCTGCCTGGTAGTATTTTCCATCAATAAGAATCTGTACATCAATTACATGCTGGCGTAAAAGATTCTCACATTCAAGTATATACCCAGCAATTTCTGCTTCATTCTGAAACTGCACTCCTGATTCTAATCTCTTAGAATCCTGTATTTTAAAAGAGCTCAGTATTAATTCTGTGAAACAAGTTTCAAGATGACCTCAATTACAAAACTTCAAATACTGGAACAGAAGCCTACTTGGGCTTTCCTTAGTTTTCCTTATTGGCTCAAAAATATGTTTTCCCTCTGCTTGTTGCCTCTCAGAGAGCAAATACCAATCATGACCTTCAGCAAATTTTAAGTTTCAGAGGAGAATACATACCAAGAATCAACCAAACATTATGCAAAAATTTTAGTTCATCCAAATGCTCAGTGACTCCTCTACCACAACCCCAGTGGCTCCTAAAATTAACTTACAGACTGAAGAGCATTTCGAGCAAGTATTAGTTTGTCTTCACAGATGACACTGTCCCTCTGAACTCGGTTGGCAATCTGTTGCAACATTTCCAACCTAAAAGATGAGACGAAATAAAATAAAACTTTGAAGTCAAAGAGCTCACTATTTCTGAAAAATGCTTCCTATCAAAAAGTAAAACACAATCCCACACCAATGATTCAATACCTGTGTCCATCAAAGGATTCATTGCCGAAGCTAATGCAAGAGTTGATCAGTGTTGGGCCACAATGAACCGAGAGAAGATTTTCATTCGAATCAAGACTGGTTCGAGTGCTGGTAGTGTTACTAAACACAGAATCACTGCTACGGTAACTATAACTACTACTGTGCATTTTTATTCCTGAAGTGATGTTCTTCCTTTGACCATTCAAAGCAGACTAAAAGGTAGAAGGTCTGGAAAAAGCTCTACTTCTAACGGTGAAAAGTGGCAGCTGAATATTACAGCTTTTAATGGCTCCTTAAATATGCTTCAACATGCATATGCAACACACAGCAAATAATATGCTGATAACTATTCAAAAGAATCTTGCCTAAAGCCATTCATTTGCTAGCTGAGGTTTGCCTTTTATATCCTGTATTAAAACCCTGCAAGTACGAACAAAGCAGGCAGATTGGGCGTCACTGGAAAGGATATGCCAAATATTTGCACTAAGAGTCATCCAATTGCAACCAACTAAAAAACAACTCAGATGGCTCACAGAAGCCCAGGACAACTAGTGAAGATTATTCTGGCAATAGCAATCATTAGCTAAAAGAACGCAAATATTCGATCATAGCCTGACTTCTGCAAAAGACCAGGTCTGTGCTGAATAACATAAGAAACTCAAACAGCTAGAAATTATGAGGTACCTAAAAACAAATGAATTTGATCAGAAGCAAAGTACGCTTCCATTTTAACCACCATGTCATTTGTTTATTAGGTTAATGTAACTGAAAAAGTATCCATTTACCTTTCTTTATATGACATGCTCCCAGTAATCTTATTTCTAAACCTACTATAAAGCACCAAGTAGAATATTGATGCAATGCTTATAAATTTAATTTGTCTGTGGTTGTGTTTCCATTCTATGGGATATTACATGGCATAAGAACACTGACTTTCTTTCCCATTTGTTTTTCACACACTCCCATGCCACATAGCTATTATTTGCAATACATAGACAATCCCAAAAAATGTGCATGAAGAAACATGAAGGCATTTATCCAACCAGGCTCCTACATATTTTCCTACCTCCAATACTACTGTTACATCTCCACTTTACAAGTAGGTATTTTTCTTTTCAGGGGTCAAGAAAGGGGAAATTTGAGAGTGCCACATCAAATATAGTGAGTGAACAGAAGAGCTCAAAACAGTAACAGTGGCACCTAGCATTTATTAAGTAATTATTATGTGCAGGGAATTAATCATTTTAGATACATAACTCATCTCATACTCATAACCACCCAATGTGGTAGGTACTATCACTTCCTGTTTACAAATGGGGAAACTGAGGCTTAGGCAGTTAAAGAACTTGTCTAAGATCGTACAACTTGCAAGCTGAGCTAATAATCTCATTTAAAATTGAGTGGCTTCTGGGCCCCAAACTCTCAACCACTCTCCTTTATTAACATATCTTAAAATTCGGCTACTGTTCTAATGACTAAAAATCTACTCTGTATCCTCCGGAATACTTTTCCATTATTTCAGATGATTAATATAGTATCTCATTTCAATCACCCAGGATTACTTCTTCCATAAAAGCTGTATCCTGTATGTTTCTGGCTTGTTTTGGTTTTAATAATCCAGTTATGTAGACATATTCTACTTTAACATAAATGTAATCAGTAATTTAATAAAGGACTGACAGGTTAGACTTGCTCTCATGTGTTTATTTTATGCATTATTTCACAATGTTGAATGTTTAAGTCAATGTGTGAGGCACAGAGAACAAGACAATACTGAGCACCTCTACTGTGTGTCAGGCACTGTGTAAAGCATTGGCAACGCAAGGGACAGCAAAAACAGGCGTTTCTCTCCACATTCTTGAGCTCCTATCTGTGGAGTAGGCAGCCCTTAAGCAATCACAAAAATAAATATAAAAATACAACCAAGATAAACACTAGAAAGGAGCAATACACGTAAACATGAGAGTTCTAAGCAAGATATCTGAACTAGCCTAGGAGACCATGAAAAGTTTCTTGAGAAAGTAATGTTAGAGCTGAGATCTGAGAATGTTTAGGTGTAAAGCAGCCAGCTGGCTGCTCTGCAGAGAGCATGGGTGCTAGAGAGGTGTGTCTCACCACACAGGCCTTGTCCTGTGATATGGTTTGGCTGTGTCCCCACCCAAACCTCACCTTGAATTGTAATAATCCCCATGTATCAAGGGTGGGGCCAGATGGAAATAACTGAATCATAGGGGCAATTGCCTGTTCTCATCGTAGTGAATAAGTCTCATGAGATCTGACGGTTTTATAAATGGTAGTTCCCCTGTACAAGCTCTCTAGCCTGCTGCCATGTAAAATGTGATTTTGCTCCTCATTCACCTTCTGCCATGATTGTGAGGCCTCTCCAGCCATATAGAACTGTGGGTCAATTAAACCTCTTTTCCTTTATAAATTACCCAGTCTTGGGTATGTCTTTATTAGCAGCATGAGAATGGACTAATAGACCCTGTAAGGTCTAGGTTCTACAGACCTCATGGCTAATGAAGAACATAAATCATAATTCCCAGGTAACAGGTTAAGACTAATGAGGACAAAGTCATCCAACAGACATTCCCTGAAGACTGAATGGTACCTTTCGGGGCAACTGGGTGTAGTGGGAGACAAAATAACAAAGAGCTAGTGATGATTTCATGGAGTAAATGCACTTGTAGAAGTGTGGCAGAAAGGGAACCTGAATTAACATTTACTGAGTGTGTTCTAGACGCCATCCGTCACAATTAAAATGGAGGCAAGTTAGGCTTTGGTTTCCACTGCCTCATGGAAAGAGAACTATAGCAAAAATGTAACAAGAAATAAAATCAGTTCATTGTTGACCTACAAGCTTTCAGATCCAGGCCCTGGTGACTTAAAGCCAACGTGAGAAATTACAGGTAATTTTGGCTGGTTTTAAAACTGTAAAGCCTCATTAGATGAGATTTCACATACCAATCCAGCCTAGCAGGTCATTTATATACCTTACTTCACTGATTGACTATTTAAAACATCTTAGAAGAGTTTCTAGATGAGAAAATGGAGGATCAGAAAGATTAAGTGACTTATTCAAGGCCAAGTAAACAGAAGTTTAAGTTCTTTCACAAGAACACAGAGGCCCCTCCCCACTTGATATTCATGGTAGTAAACACCTCTGGCCTACCTTTCTACTTCTGGACGAAGTGCCTTCTCCCTCTCAAGCATGGCAATAATGAGTTTCCCCCACTCTTTTTCTATGTCATTTGGATGATAACCTTGAAGAAGCTTGATGCGTCCAAATTCTATCCAAATCTTGAGAAAGCAAAAAAAACTTTAACGTGAAGCAAAAAAGAAAATGAAACAAAGATTATGCTTGACAATACAAAGTAAATGTGAGCTTACCTCTAATAATTTATAGAGACGTTTAATTTTTGATTTTTCTGTCTCCTTTGGTGGAATTTCTGTTTCTTTAAACTGTAAATACTGATTATAAAGTGCCTAAAATAAAAAGGACAAGAAATTAAGGGCCAAATTTAAAAGACGTGTCTTCACTATCTCACTAAGCCACCACTTTATCATTTACTGTATCATATGCGTTCAGTAGGATTCCCTTGTAAAACTGACAAAGACATACCAATTTCCAGCCAGTTGGTGACCTGGGTTGTCTAAGATTTGATGAGGGTGTAATTATTGATGTGAGCCATGATTTAGTGCCACAGAGGGATCTGGATAATAATAAACCATGCAGTGTTTACTAGTGCTCTACTAAAAATCTCTTATCTTCCAAACAAGAAAACATACCCTTTAAAAGATGCACTTCCCAAATGCTGCACTTTAGCTTTCAGTCTTTGGAAAAATAAAATTCCCATAAAAAAAAAGAAATAAAACCACTCTCTTCTATTACATGGTTCTATCCTTCAAAACAAACTTCTTAGCAGAAAGGATTAACATTTGGTTTCAATGTCCCATTGGCCAATTTAAACAGATTTTTTTAAAAACTAATGAAGGTAGATGCTATTAGTTGATGGGGCCATTATGACAGAAGTTTCAACCATATAATTAAATTATTATCTAGTTTGTATGTACTAATTTGGGAACCTCTTAAATATAATGTATTTGTTAAAAGGGACCTCCATAAAAATTATTTAGATAATCATCTTCATATTTAATAATCATGTACTAATTATTTCACCCTAATTCATGTAGCTATAAAACAAGACCCTGTAAATCTCTTTTTTTTTTTTTTTTTTTTTGAGATGGAGTCTCACTCTGTCACCCAGGCTGGAGTGCAAAGGTGCAATCTTGGCTCACTGCAACCTCCGCCTTCCAAGTTCAAGTGATTCTCCTGCCTCAGCCTCCAGAGTAGCTGGAACTAGAGGCGCCCGCCACCACACCAGGCTAATTTTTGAATTTTTAGTAGAGATGGGGTTTCACCATATTGGCCAGGCTAGTCTCGAACTCCTGACTCTGTGATCCGCCCACCTTGGCCTCCCAAAGTGCTAAGATTACAGGCACGAACCACTGTGCCCAGCTGACCCTGTAATTCTTAAGGATGACATATTTCTGAAGGACTCCATTCAAACTTCTGCTAATGCAATTATTTGGCATTTCCCCATGATGTATTTTCTTAATCTATGTCTTGTCCTAGGCATAAGCAAGTAATCTGTGTGACCACTTCTTCTGTAACTAATAATCTACAATAATGAGAAGCCAGGACAATTCACCCTGGGCAGTAGAAATCCATTTGGATGTAAGTGTATTTGAACATGAAATCTGAAAATTGTTTTGAAATGAAAATGCAATGTTTCAGGATGTCTGTTGGTCATTAAGCAGCAAATGCCCCTATGTGCTAAACACTCTTCATGGCACCACATGGTAGTCATAGGGAAGTTTTCCTGCCCTGGAAAATTTCATGTCCATGTAGAGAAGCATCACACAAACAGCTTGATAACACATAAAAACTATCATATCATCACATGCCAAGTAACTTCATCCCAAGGACAAACTCCCTGCGGCAATGGGAATGAAAGCCATTCCACAGATATTCTGTACAGATACAGGAGCATAATGAATAGCTCTAATAGGGCCCACCCTGGACTATTATAATTTTGTCTATCCCAGTCTGATCATGAAAATAAAGCCTACAAACCAAGAAATTAAGACTGTGTAGGCAATATTCACATTACCAGCTTCTAGATATAAAGTAGCCCACTTTGCTATTATAAAACCAAATATGCAAATGAGACAACTTATTCTTTAATAAGTTTATATATTTACAATGGATTTTATATCTGTAATGCCTTTGCCTCAAAGAGCTTGCCCGAAGTTTTTCAGTATTAGCAAATGTTTTACTAAACCACAAATTCACTTATACTGGAAGTCAGACATGTATTTTCAAATTCATGGTAAAATACAGTATGTACCTCTTCCTGCACAAAAGATGCTTCTGAAGCAGCTTTTAACATACTCAACCACAGGCACACTCCCAAACCAGTGCCACACTTGTGTGTGCTTCCCAGGGGCCCTCCTACCTCAGCCGTAAGAGGGGCTCCAAGCACTTCCCATGTACTAAAATCAATTTGACAATGTTAGTTTCAGAGATTCTCTTAAATTAAACCTTTAACCTCTCAGCCAATCAAAGCTGAGACACTACAGTTCATCTGTTCTAACTGTTAATGTTCTACCTCCATTACAGAGAAATGAGTAAATAAAAATTTTGCCTACTTATTAATGACTTTCCAAGGCCATTCAACTTCCAAAATTACTGAATTATTCAAGCATTACTTAAGGGTTTATAATCAAATCAATCCTATGTAATTTCTTTAGTGACACTGACCTTCAGTTCTATAGGATTATTAGGAAATGTTCTCTCAGACATTGTGGTCACATGGTGTCGAATCCATTGGATGAGGTAGTTCACCATATTCTGGTATTCAATCCATTTGACTTCAACATCCTAGAACAATCAAATGATAGAAAAGGTTCATGTCTGTAGATAATAACATTCATATCTAAGACAATTTAGTCAGAAGTCACGTGTGAATTTACTTATTTGAAGCCTAACAGAGAGAACCAGCTAAATGTTTTCTTACTTTCACCTAGCCGCAATCCCTGTCACATAAACACCTTTAAAAAGATGCTATCAACATTTGGGCACTAACACTAACCTAAGGAGTGCCAATTCTCATCCAAAGAAAGTGGTTGCCTAGGGTACTGTATTTAGAAGGCTTCTGAGGCTCAGTCTAAGTACAGCAGAAAAAATCCAAAGTCAATTTGGGTTTTTAGCAGGGCTCAAGATGGGGGACTAACAACTTGTATAAGCCAAGTTAGCTGCCATCTTTGCCAACTATTTTAGATCTAAATCCACTGCATATCTGAAACTCAAAAGACTTGTCCAATATGTAGAAATCCAGATATGTATGCAAACTACAGGAAATGTATATGGTGGGATTATCCAGGAACTCAATAGGCAAACTCTTTAAAAATGGAGGAAACTGGAAGGCTGCCAATTACTCTGTTTAATTAAGTATTTAATGAATGCTTATTATGTTCAAAGGTTATGCTGAGTGTTATAATAAAAAAATCCTTTAAGATATACTATCTATTGTCAAGGAGTTACTGTCTAAATGCAGAGGCAAGAGAGATACATAATATAAACAGGCAAAATGAAGAGCAGTATTTAATTAAGTGTTGAAATGTTGAAATAACTGAAACAGGTAGTATATGCTAGTTGAGATAAGAATCAGGCAAGCATATCCGTGCCTTGAAATAGTTTCTAAAGCTTCTTGGGAAAGGCGGTATCTGAGAAGTTCTGCAATGACCAGTAAGTAATTATTGATGGAGGGGAAATGAGTGGGGGCTTTCCAACTTTTGTTGACAACTTTTGTTGAACTTCTAAAATTACCAAATTATTATAGCATTAATTAAGGGTTTACAATCAAATCAATCCAAAAGTGCCAAAAAAGTGGATAAAAGGGGAGTCCCATGTGAGTCAAGACAATGACATGGAAATACCCTCGCCACCAGTAAACAGTTCACATTGGGAAATCCTAGCTAAAAAAATGTAGGTAAACAAAATAAATTATGCAGTTTTTAATGTCAGAATATCTACATTGCATTTAGCCTTGCAAGGAATATGGAGCCATTGAAAGTTTTCAAGCTAAAGACCTCAGGTTCTAGGCAGATTAACGTGGCAACAGTGTACAGAGGTGGTGAGAAGAGGAAAAAAATGGAGACAGAAACCTATGAGAAAGCTATCAGCCTAGTTCTGTAGGGATAGGCAGCAGGATCCGCATGGAGGCAGTGAGAAGAAGAAAGAGAGGGCAAAAGAAACATTCTGAAGCAATGCCCAACATTGAGTCGTCAGGGGTGAGCATGGGAACAGGCTACTGAGGGATCCAAAGAGCATAAAACCTTTGCAAAGAAGAAACTAAGGAGGAATATGGAAACAGGACTAGAAACAGCACATGGAAGTGGCAGAAATGATCAGAAAAGGGAGCTCCTAATCCAAGGGAGCTAATCCAAGATGAGCTCCCAAATCTTCAAAATAAGGTAGGGAAAAAAGGTATTTGCAAGGAGGAAGGCAGAAATCCAGCTGAAGGGGATCATCCCTAAATATGTGACACAAATAGGGTTTCCTGTTCTCTTCCAGAAATGTATAACCACCAAAAAAAAAAAAAATGCATCATTGAAGTAAATTAAACAAACCTTTAAGAAATAGTAGACTAATAAAGAGCCCAAAGCTCTGTGTCAGAGACCTTCCCTGCTTATTAAGTAGCTCTGCTATTTTGGCCAAATCCAATAACTTTCCTCTGGAGCCCACTTTTAAATCATAAAAATATTATGATTTTTATTTCATAAGATAGTATGAGGTAGCAAATTTGAAATTATTTTCAAAAGTGAAATATTCTATACATATAGGAGGATTGCAAATATGGCAGTATAAAACAGCACCTAGCTAAAAATGGAAAATTCTAAATTTCAGGAAGTTATAGCTTTTATTTATAAAATGACCAGTAACTATAAATAGCCTCTTTTATTTATGAGACAAAACAAAATTTTTAATGCGTTATACTTTAAATTTAATGGTAGAATGTCATGAAATACAAAAACTATCAATTTATCAAATAGCATATTAACTCCAATTCTTTAAAATACATTCAACATTCAAGGTTGGGCAAGGTGGCTCTCCCTGTAATCCCAGCACTTTGGGAGGCCAAGGCGGGTGGATCACGAGATCAAGAGATCAAGACCACCCTGGCCAACATGGTGAAACAACATCTCTTTTTAAAAAAAAAAAAAAAAAGAAAGAAAAGAAAAGAAAAAATATATATATTCAACATTCAAAACCTGCAAAAATTACTATCAATAAATGCAGTCAACTAGTCATTACTGAATCAACAGCTTCGAGTGTGAAAAAATCAATACTCACATTTGCACCAATGCCTTCCCCACCTTCAGGGACTTTAGGAAATGCATCATAGAGAGATGAAACATAAGTTATTACTGATTTTTCATCAGGTGAGGAGACATCAACGTCTAAAAACAGCAACATAAATTAATCATTTCACAACGATGAAATCACTTTGGTAATTTCAATGGTAAATCACTTTTGATCAGACTTTCGTGTCAATACACATATAATCAAGAAAACAACTCACCTTCAGGGTCCAGAAGTCTTATAACACCAATTTTTTCTGCTACATAAAAAGCATGCTCTAAATTTGCAAGGTTGCTTTGAACAGCAACAGTATTCATATCTATCAGGTCCGGCCTAGGAAAAAAATTCACTGTGTTAATTAGGTTTTCTCATGTACCAATTCAACATTATATTTATATATGTTTCCATTTATAAAACAACTTCTGCTCAAATTAATAACAAGCCTATAGTAAAAGGCAGAGACTTTCATCAAACATTTAACATTGCTCACTTATCTCAGAAACTTTTGTGTTGAACGCAAATATCACAAGGAAAATATAAAAATTTGAACATATACAAATTTCAACAAGTCTACAAATATCTCATAGTCAGAATACATATGAGTATCTCTCCCATCCAACTGATTTAAGCTACACTACTCCAACAGCCTATTTCCAATCCAACCAGCATCCTATCAATATTTTTCCCCAAAGACAAAAAGCTTGTAGCTTAGTTCAATGATGTGTGCATGGCATCCTCATTGCACCACACCCTTTTATGTCACTTTTGTCTTCTATAACCTTATTCATTCTTCCAAGGAGAGATCAAGCTCCACCTCCTCTGTGGGACCTGGCTCATATTCCTATCCCTTATTTCTGTCTCTGTTCCCTGAACTCATACTTCCAGGCTGCACCACACACTGTGACACTTAGGATAATCTGAGACTTCCTTGCTCTATTAATTCACTGTTCTGTGTACATGTTGTTTCTCCCAAACCATCAACTCCAAGATAGCAAGTACCATGTATTAAGAAAATTTTGTATTTCATCCTTCTACTGAAATAAAGAATGATGTATAGTAGACCCTCAACAAATATGTACTCGTAAGTTGGTAAGCAGGCTAGTTCGTTAGTAATCTGAATCCTAAATGAATGGCTAAAATAAGCATTAGTTTATATTTTCACAAGCACGCATGTGTGCACGTACCAACACGCACACACATAGTTACACATATCAGACTTCATCTTTTTCTCATTTGTGAAACTTACATAACACCCAAACTTTGAAGCAGAAACTTTGAAGTTCACTCTATCTACATGAGAAAGGAAAAGAGTCCTCAAATACTTCTTGTAGAGAAAGTGCCAAAATATGGTCATTAGAGACTTCACTCAAGGCTAGAAGCCAGTCAGTAAACTTCCATCTCAAAAACAAAGCATTAAAAGAATACAGGAACAACGTGGAAACAGCAAAACCTTCAGAAAGAGTGGTACTTACCACCCAAAAAAATCACTGAGTAAGAACCTGTTGATCAGCTTACAAAGAAAGGCTCTCTACAATTTCCACAGACATTCTTCTTTGCTCAAAATAATCATTTGAGGAACCACAGAAAGAGTAGGAGGGCTCAAAGGTAGTATAGGAGAAATAAAATGCAAATTATTTTGTATACTACTTGGCAGGCGGCTCATATGAAAAGCTGTTTGAAAATATATCACTGATATTAGAAAGATAAATGGCAATTTGTACTCTTTTTTAAGGTAAGCAAACAGACCTCTCAAGAAAATCGTATACTTTTATACCACTTTGCACTGTTCATAACCTGGAAATGTGGTTACCATCACCTACACGCTCATATTATAGGAAAATATTAGAAAATCCTTTAATGTTTTCAACATGCCACCAATACGATCACTCAAAAGTGATCCTACCATTTATTATAGGAACAATAAATCCACTGACAACAATGCAGGTAAATGACAGATCTCTAAAAATAACATTTTTATTCACACAGAAACATACTGAAGAATCTGCCAACCTCAAGATTATTAAACAGGTATGTATAGAGGTCTAGACAAAAACAAATACCTAAAGTTCTTTCATCAAAAAATTGTTTGTTTCCATAAAGTTTGCACATTTTGGGGGAAATAAAAAACAGCCTTTCTAAGTCTGCCAAATCTCAGAACAAGACATGGCATGTTATTATGAGAAGCCTGTCATCAACAAAGAAAGTAAACACTGAGTAATCCCAGAAAGAATGAATAAAGTCATTGAAGAATCAAGTTTTTCAACTAAGAGAATACAACATAAAAGTTCCTTCAGAATGACGTAGCCATTTCAACAAAAGCAGCTGTAGAATACAATGAGTCTGAGTAAGTCATCTCTTTTATCATGAAGTTTAACACTTTAATGGAACAAAAACTGAATGGCTTTCCTCCACTAAAAGACAGCAGATAAAGAAAATTAGTTAAGTGAAAAAGAAGAGAAAAATTTTAAAACCACTATGAAGCTGGGTACAGTGGTTCACACCTATAATCCCAGCACTTTGGGAGGCTGAAGCAGGCAGATCACCTGAGGTCAGGAGTCTGAGACCAGCCTTACAAACATGGTAAACCCTGCCTCTACTAAAAATACAAAAATGAGCTGGGCGTGGTGGCAGGCGCCTGTAATCCCAGCTACTTGGGAGGCTGAGAATTGCTTAAACCCGGGAGGTAGAGGTTGCAGTGAGCCTAGATCTCGCCATTGCACTCTAGCCTGGGCAACAAGAGTGAAACTCCTTCTCGAAAAAAAAAAAACACTATGAAAAAGTAGTAATAGGCTGCAATCTTCAAAGTGCTATTTCTCCCCTAGCTAATCTCCTAACAATGTAGTGGTCCCTTTGTCTTTCAAATCAGTCCTTCCTCTATCGGCCTGAAGCATCCAGAAGAGGCCTTTGCTGTGTGTGTCGTATCTATCACCTTCATTCTTCATAGTCTCACTGGGATAACACAACCTTTAAAACCTTCATTTATGGCCAGGCGCGGTGGCTCATGCCTGTAATCCCAGCACTTTGGGAGGCCGAGGCGGGTGGATCACGAGGTCAAGAGATCGAGACCATCCTGGTCAACATGGTGAAACCCCGTCTCTACTAAAAATACAAAAAATCAGCTGGGCATGGTGGCGCGTGCCTGTAATCCCAGCTACTCAGGAGGCTGAGGCAGGAGAATTGCCTGAACCCAGGAGACGGAGGTTGCGGTGAGCCGAGATCGCGCCATTGCACTCCAGCCTGGGTAACAAGAGCGAAACTCCGTCTCAAAAAAAAATAAATAAAATAAATAAAATAAATAAAAAATTAAAAAAAAAAACCTTCATTTATTTTTCACATACAGAAGATACTTCCGTTCTAAAGGTTTCACTTCTTTGTAACTCTTTTTGGGAAAGGTTACCAGGAAGTTCCATTTCCATCTTAGGTTTAACTAACCAAAGAGCATTAGACTATATTAGAGTGACCATGTTCCCATGTTACATTTCAGATAGTTGAACATTAACTATTGTAACTTGCCTGTTTTATGGAAACTTTTCAAAATCATATAATTACTTTACCATGTAAAGTAATAAATGCTAGTCTTTTTATAGAAAAAAATAAGGTCATTCTTTTACTTTTTTATTATTCTATGATAATATCTTTTCAAAATGACCCAATCATCATAAATTAGCATTCTTTAAACATATTTCTATCCCAGCTTTTCTTTCATAAGCAATCAAAAGTAGCTTACAAAGAAAACACAAGAAGATAGCATAAAATTTAAATCAGGAGTATAAAACCAAGAAAAGGCCTTAAAATGAAATTGAAAGTGAGACTAAAAATGGCAACTCATGCCAGGCGTGGTGGCTCACACCTGTAATCCCAGCACTCTGGGAGGCCAAGGCAAGTAGATCACCTGAGGTCAGGGATTTGAGACTAGCCTGGCCAAGATGGTGAAACCCTGTCTCTACTAAAAATACAAAAATTAGTTGGCAGTGGTGGCAGGCGCCTGTAACCCCAACTACTTAGGAGGCTGAGGCAGGAGAAGTGCTTGAACCCTGGAGTCGGAAGGTGCCGTGAGCCGAGATTGCGCTACTGCACTCCAGCCTGGGTGACAGAGCGAGACTCTGTCTCAAAAAAACAAAAAAGAAAAAAAAAAAGGAGATTAACACAACAGTCTACGTAAGGCTTCCACATTATATCATGATAAACACCAATACATTCAACTGCAAGGAGCATGAAACAATGTCAAAATACTTAGAAAGGAAGTACTTAGAAGTACTTAGAAATATGGCAAAGGGGATACTAATTAAAGTTAGCTAAGAGAAAGAGAAAAATGCCAGCTACAAGAAGACTACTTTAGGGCAGACACAATGTTAATAAATCCTGAACCAAAACTGTGACAATAGCTGAAAAAACAGATACGGGAAATATCAATGGCTACGGTCCAAATCACAATTTTTTTAAAAAATGAAAAAATTCAGTGATTTAAATTCACGGAGTCTGTTAGATTGTGCTGGCTCTCAACTGGCACTCAATAATTATTAACGTAGATACAAACAGTAAGGTTTGGGCTACCCTGCATCTGCTTTCCTATGTTTGAGAAATTTCTCATGAATTTCATAAGTCTTAGGGATAAGGAGAGGAGCAAAGCCCATTTCCCAACAGAAAAACAGAAACGTATCAGGTTCTTCCTGCCTCTTTTCTTTGCTCAATTAATGTCCACCGCATACCTCACCTCCAACTCAAAATCTTTCTGCAGACTCTGTTCCACCATCATTTCCTCCAGGAAGTACTTTCCTCTGTTCCCAAATGCTGTCTGCTATCTGCATTTCTGTATTTACCACATGTTTCATAACTATACATTTGCCTATATCTCATATTGGACCATGAGCTTCCTGAAAGCAGAGCCCGTGTTGTCCATGTTTATATCCTCAATATCTAGCAGAATATTTAAAACATGAACTTTTGAGGAGTAAATAAATAATAAAGAAATAAATGAGCTATGGGGCTGAGACATACCAGTGTTTCAAATTCCTGGAGATATTTTCCATCCCAGGCTTGTTTTTATTCTTTTCAATGATTTCTACTGACAAAACTACCATCTATGGCTTCAAGTTTTCAAAACCTTGTTGAAATTTCCATGGACCAGGGTACAATGTCATAGCTTCTCCATGTCCTAAACAAGCACACACCCTTTCAAGGTTTCCTAAAGTCTTTTCTCTCCTAAAAAATCATTTGGAAAGTAGGCACGGAGTGAGGACAACAAACAGGCGTGAAGTATAAAAGCTTCAAAAAGCTGAAGTTGCTGCTTCTAGGTCCCCGCCGTTCTTATGCTCTCATGTGCCCTCAACTTC